TTGAACTCAGGTCCTTGTGCTTACCAGAGAAGCGCTTATTGCATTGAGCCATCTCCCCCGCCCTTGTCGGTTAGTTTTTTTATTACATCTTGTATTTCATTGGCTGTTATTGGGCTATTGAGAGTGGTTATATCTTGTGGATTCTGTTGCAGTAAATTGTACCTTTCTAGGGATCTGTCCATTTCATCCGTGTCTCATATTCTGTGAGAGTAAAGACTCTCGAATAGCTATTGATATTATCTTCTGTATTTCCACTGGATCTGTGGTAATTACACCCTTTTCATTCCTTATTGCTTGTAGTTGAGTTTTTTCTTTCCCCTTTGATGAGGTTAGCTATTGGCTTATTGATTTTATTTAATCTTTGAAAGAATCAGCTTTTTGCTTCATTGATTCTTTGAATTGTTTTCTTCATCTCAATCGAATTAATTTCTGCTCTAATTTTTATGATTTCCTCCCATCTTTGGGCTTTGGGTTTGGTTTGCTCTTCCTTTTCTAGTTTTTGAAGGTGCAGCATTAGGATATTTATTTGTTCCCGTTCTGTTTTCCTAATGTGTGAGTTCACAGCTATGAATTTCCCTCTGAGAACTGTTTTCATCGTATCCCATAAATTACAATAAGTTGTGCTTGAATTTTCACTGAATTGTAGACATTATTGAATTTCTTGTTTAAGTTCATCTGTGACCCATTGGTTGCTAAGTAGGGTGTCATTTTATTTCCATATATTTAGGGATTTTCCTGGTTTCTTTTTTTCATTTATTTCCAGTTTCATTGCACTGTGGGCAGATAATATGCATGGGATAATTTCTGTTTTCTTGCATATACTTAAGCATGAGCTATAGACCAGTATGTGGTCTATTTTAGAAAATGACCCATGTGCAGCTGAGAAAAATGTGTATTCAGCTGTGTTTGTTTGGAACCCTCTGTATCTGTCCACCAAGTCCATTTGTTTCAAGCTCTGGTTCAGTTCTGTTATTTCTTTGCTAAATTTTTGTCTGGTTGTCATATGTTTTTGGGATAAGGGGGTGTTAAGGTCTCCTGTTAAGATTGTGGTATTGGATATTAGATTTTTCATGTCCATCAAGATTTTCTTTATATAGTTGGGTGCTCCCGTGTTTGGTGCATACATATTTGTGAGTGTTACCTCTTCCTCTTGAATTTTTCCCCTAACCAGTATATAGTGTCCTTCTTTATTTCACTTGATCATTCTTTGTTTCAAGTTGAGACTGAGAACAGAATTGCTAACCCTGCTTTTTTCTGAGGTGCTGGGTCTTGTAGTATTGTTTACCATCCTTTGATTTTTAGCCTATGTATATCTTTATGAGTTAAGTGTGTTTGTTGTGTACAGCATATTGTTGGATATTGTTTCCTAATCCACTGTGCCAGTCTATTTCTCTTAATTGTTGAATTGAATCCATTTGCATTGATGGTTAGAATTGAGATGTATTGACTTAAGATTGACATGTTAGTTACCTGCTTTCGTTTACTCCTTTTTTCTCCTGTGTTTAGTTGCTTGCTCTATTTAGTTGGTTGCTTCTGATCTCATTTGTGGAGTTCTGATCATTTTGGTCCCTCTCTAGAACAACTTTCAGTAGCCTGTGTAGGGTTGGCTTTGTCATCATGAAATGCTTTAGTTGTTCTTTGTCATGAAAGTATTTCATTTCTCCATCAAACTTGAAAGCGAGTTTTGCAGGGTATAGTAGTCTGGGCTGGAATTTGTTTTCGCAGAGGACTTGAAGTACTCTGCTCCATGCTCTTCTTGCCTTCATGGTTTGTGAAGAGAAGTTGGCCATAATTCTGATGGATTTCCCTTTGAATGTGATCTGTTTCTTTTATCTAGCAGCTTTCAGTATATTATTCTTGTTCTGAATTTCTGGGATCTTGACTATTATATACCTCGGTGTATTTTTAATTGGGTTGAGGTTACTTGGCGTTCTGTATCCTTCACTTACCTGAATGTCAGATTGTTTCCTCATATTTGGGAAGTTTTCTGGTATGACTTCTGCCAATATTTTTTTTTAATGTCCTTTGTATTGACTCCTTCTTTCTCATTGATGCCTATTAGTCTCACATTGTTCATCTTTGCATCATCTTGCAGGTGATGGATTATTTTTTCCTGCATCCTAGTTGTTTTTAAGACATCCTTTCTTACCTTTTCACTAGCTACAACAGTGTCTTCAAGATCTGAAACTCTGTCTACACTTTCACTTCAATTGTTTTGCAAGCTTGTGACTGAGATTTTAATTTCCTCTATATCTCCTTGACTCTGCTTCATGCAATCTATTTCTTTCCTGTATTACTCATTCAAGGATTCTGTCCAATTTTTTTTTTACCAATGTCTTCTTTAGAAACAGTTATTAATTCTTTTACTGCAGGGTTTTTTTCTGATTGGGTTTCCTCCCTATGTTTCTGTAGTTGCTCCTTTACTTCAGATGCCATGAGTTCTGAGAATTCTTTTCTTATTTCAGAAAATTCTGCTCTTAGTTCCTCTATAAGTTTCTGCTTTTGCTTATTTACTATGGATGCTATTAATTCGTACTTTCGAGCTGAGCTAGTAGAAAAGAATTCCACTCTGAGTTCCTCTATGACTTTCTGCTATTGCTTATTTACTATCGACGCTATTAATTCATACATTTGAGCTGAGCTAGTGTCCTCTGCACTTGTTCTGGCTGGGAATTGGGTTTCCTCCATATGTTTCTGCATTTGATTCTTTACTGCAGATGTTATTAATTCAGGGATTTCTTTTTTCCTTTCCAATCTGAGTTTCTCTATTCCTTTCTGCAGTTGTTTCTTTATTTCTGAAGCTGTTGATTCATTGATTTCAGCTGTGTGATTCCCAATTTGTTCTGTGTTAGTGTCCTCTTCCCTTGTTATGGGTGGGCTTGGGTTCTGAAATTGCATTTTGCTCCTTCTCATTGTTATTTTGTGTAGCACTGTCTTCTGAACTTTGTTGTAGAGCTTTGGTGCAGTTATAACATTAGCACCTACTGAAGTTTAGGTGCAGATCTACAAAGTTTGGATTTAGCCAGCTGTGCCTGGCTTGGGTCTGGCTGCTGTGCTCAGCTCCTTCCTGCTTCTGCCCTTGGGAGTGAACCTGTTGTGACCCTCTGGCAAGATGTTCTGCTCCTGGACTAGCTGGGTGGTTCTGTCCCCTACTCTCTCTTCAGGGATTGCAGCTTCAGAGTTTCACCTTAGGCCTGTATGCCAGGCCTGTTTTGAGTCTGGAGGGGACAACATGGAGTAGGGAGGAGAGGCAGCTCTCCCACACACTTACCAGGCCTAGGCTAGGCCTCGATCTGGGGGTCCCCAGAACATGGTAGAAATTCTCACTTGGCAGGCAGCATCGGGGAGTGCTGTGGTGTGATAGGGGGGTCCCAAGGGAATGGAAGAGGGTCTCGTCCACACTGCGCCTGGGCTGGGACCGGTAGGTCCCGCTGGCGCAGGGTAGCTGGAAGCTCTCCCACACACTTACCTGGCCTGGGCTGGGAATATATCTGGGGATCCCTAGAATGCGGCAGAAATTCTCATGTGGCGAGCGGGGTGGGGGCATGCTGTGGAGTGTTGGGAGGTGCCCAAGGTTGTGGAAGAGGATCTCACCCATGCTGCACCTAGGCTGGGACCACCAGGTCCCTCTGGTGCAGGGTGGTCAGAAGCTCTCCCACACACTCACCAGGCTTAGGCTAGGACTGGATCTCTAGGCCTTGTCTTTGCAAAGAAAGATTATCTCTCCATCCCTCTGCACCATCAAGCTTCTGGCTTCCAGCTTCTGGGTGTTCCTTCTGCTTCTGCCTCATCCTAGAGCAATGCCAGTTTCATTAAAGGTCTTCCGTTGCTAAACTCCTCCTTGGAATCTCACTCTCTAAGCTAAATAGCCATCAAAATATTTCCTAATCCAGTGCCTTCTTTAGGAAGAGCTATGGTCCGTAGCCTTCCCTGTACCTTGCTACCATCTGTGTGTTTCATGTGTCAAACTCTCTGCCTTTGCAGATCTGAACCCAGCAGCCCTGACCACGGCTCCTCAGCCATTGAGCAAGACCTTGCTGCCCTGGATGCTGAAATGACCCAAAAGTTAATAGACCTGAAGGACAAACAACAGCAGCAGCTACTAAATCTTCGGCAAGAGCAGTACTACAGTGAAAAATACCAGAAGCGAGAGCATATTAAACTGGTAAGCCTGAGACACAAGATTTATTTTTGTGTAGCTACAACGCTCTTTTCTGGAGAACATAATTGATGTTCTCGGGTCACTCACAGCAAACAAGGGCAAGACGAACACTACGAGCTTGAGCAATTGCCGAGGCTACTTGGTGACCACCATACTAACATAATTTTCATTTGCCCTATTCTTAATCCACATGGTTTGTTCCAAGGTTGTTTGTCTTATTTTTTTCTTTTTAATAAGATTCTCTCTATTCCCTCAATGAGGCTTTGTTTCATGGTTTCCATTTTCACTGATACATTTTGGGGGTATAATAGTTTGGGGTTGTTTGGAAACATATGAGGAAATAGAAAGTCTTTATCAAAATTGACCACTCAACAGTTTGTGCCAAGCATCAGACAGGTCTCATTTCAACCAGCTGATTTGTGTTTGCACAGGATAGTTCATGTCTGTTTATTTGTGTTATAGAGACTATTTTCCACATATTCTCTTATTGACAACATTGCATTCACCTTTGATGTTGGTTTCTAATGAAATCTAACAATAACTTCTGATTATTCTTTTACTAATTTGTGTTTATTTTAGTTGTGAAAACCCATCCTTTTGTGCTATAACCTATAGAAACTCTTATAAGTATATTAGATATAATTTTTATTCTTCTCCAGAACTCAGTGACATTCATTTACAGTATGATGTGGACATGTTTGAGATGCTAAGACTGAGTAGGAAGGAAGAGCTAAAAGATGAATAAGAGAAAAAACTGAAAAGAGAGTGATGGTAGCATATGAAAAGCCTATGCTATGAAATGGAAAGACAAAAAAGACATCCCTTGCTAGGGCCGGCCAGATAGCTCCGCAGACTAGAGTACCTGCTTAGACAGACACAGAGACCGGGATTCGATCCCCAGTATGCCATGCCAGCCCTGCCCCCATGGTGCACTGAGATGGCAGTTGAGATGGCATGATGGCACGTGCCTGTAATCCCAGCACTTGGGAGGCTGAACACAGGAGAATCACTATGAGTCCAACCTACATAGTGAGACCCTAACACCCTTTGATCCTAGCCCAAAAGTTAAAAAAAAAAAAAAGAAGAAGAAGAAGAAGAAAAAGAAGGCATCTCCTTACTGTTAACTATTCATGACACAGGAATGATAGAACTTGGAAGAAGAAATAAAACTAAAATCGTTCTAATAGTGGTCAATGATTTTAATAATTCTGTGGGTGACTTGAAAGAGTTAACTAATATCTCACAAGCTATCCTGTAATCAAAAAAATCAAAGAAAAATATATTATTAGAAAATGTTTATGTACACTCTGGACCAAGTAATATGAATTTTTTTGTTATTTATTGAAAACAAGGGTTTTCAAAAATAGTCATTTATGATTTAGGCTAGTTCTGGTGGATCAAATAATTGAAAAGTGCAGGCTAGTAAAGACCAACCACAATGGTCTTTACCATCAAAATCTTCATCATCATCCCTAGTGGGCAGGTAATTTTACTGAAATTATGCCACCCTCAGAAAAAAATGAAAACACCAAAATATCAGTATGTTGTTCAAAGAAAAAAAATAATGCAAAAAAAAATTAAAATAGTCTAGATATCAACATCCAGATTGCAGCATTATATTGTGTCCAATGTTTTAAGATATACCATACACAGCAAAATTATTGAATAAATTTGATTAAATTGTCATTTTATATTTCCTATTATCTATAAAAGTTAACAAAATTATGCAAGTTGATCATCTTGCACTTAAATGATTGGGCTGATAAGGGGTTAAAAACATGCTGGAGAAATTTTCACTTTTTCTGAATCATTGAACTTTGCAAGAACTAAATCAATAAAACCACGCAGCCCACTCTCTGATGTTTAAAGAAGTCGATATCTAAAGGACCACTGTGGGTGTTGGCATCCAGGGGCTTCCTGTGAATCAAATCCCATCCCTGTTCTTTCTGCTAATAATAAGTTTTGCACTTCAAAACGTTCTTGTGAATTTTGACATTCTACTATTTTTAGTGCCTTGACATACAGCAGAGATATAATTAATATTTAATGATATATGATACATTAAGTGAATTTAGCAATAGAACTGCCTTAAATACAAGCTAGTGCCAGAAACAAAACAAATGAGTAAGCTTGACAAAATTAAAGTTGTGTATCCAAAGGAAAGGGGCTCTGTGAGTTCTTCATATGACTCGTATGTGTCTTGAGAAAGTCTGTACTTACAAGTTTTCTGATATTGTTTGTGTCTGTAGGCTTGGAAATCTGTAGTTGGTTGAGCCATCACTTGGGATAAATGGTGCAGTGTGACATTGTCCTAGCACTGGCTCCTGTATGACAATGTGCAAATGTGTCAAAATCACATGAACTGCCTAGCGAAATCAGATTCTACTTGGTCATGTACTTAACTTGTGCATGAGAATTACACAGAGCACTGGTAAAAGTCCAGATTGCTAGATTTTAGGTTTTGTTCTAAGTTCTAGTCCAGCAGATGTCTATACGTAGTAATCTTCCTGTTCGCAGGGCCACACTTTGAGAACCACTGCCTTATACCTCAACGTGTGGCTCAAACACCGGTTTTGTTTGTTGGTTTGCTTTTGTTCTTTCTGTGGTTCTGGGAGTTGGACCACCATGAGCCCGTGTTCCACCACTGAGTCACACAACCTTAGCAAAAATTTATTTTTCACAAGCTCCATATGGTTTGGATGGGTCACTTTATGTGAACAACTGAAACAAGGTTGAGACAGCGAAGGAATGGGTGGTCTGGGATTTTGTTGGGAGTACGGAGAGGATTCCCTCAACAAACCTGAGAAATTGAAAGTCAGTTTTAGTAGGAGACAACAGCTTTCAGGCCAACACACCATCACTGCCACCTAACTTTCCAGCAACCCATGCCACCTACTCCAGAATATAATAGCAAAATAATAGCAAACATATATTCAGCACTCACCACAGATCTTTGCCCTATGCTTGGTTGTTTACAGGAATTATTCTATTTAGTCCTCACAGCTGTTGGTATTTGTTACTCCTGTCAATTCATTTTTTCATGTAAAAAAATATAGAGAAATGTAGTGATGTGTCATAGCTCCAGAACTTGGTGTTTTGGGGATTTGAAACTTGGTCTATGTATTATATCAGGTTATATAACCCCAACTTTATAACCAGGTAAAATGACAACCATCCTAGCCCTTTTGAAATTTACATTCTTATTGGAGGGACATAGACCATAAACAAAATAAACTGGCAAAAAAATATGCATACTGTTAAAAATAGTTTGCTTTGGGTATTAAGTACCAACATACTTCTGATTACAGTTTATGCATCTCAAATGCTACTATCCACTGTTTAAGAATGAGGAAGGATGCTATGGCATCAGCAAATTCCTTTTTGCTTATGGAAAACTTAATATTCTCACAACATTCTGATAACTGAAGACAGAAATGAGTAACAAATGGCATGTATGTAACAAAGAGTCCTAAAAAATGAAATAGCAAAAGTATCAGTAAATAGAGATGAAGGAAAAGACTGAGGACAATTTGCCTAATGCAAATAACTGATGCATACCAATTTTAAAGTAATTATTCATATTAGCATAAGACCTGTAAAGCACACCTGTTTCCATGGATTCTAGCTCTCATGGCTCTGTTCCTATCCAAACAAGTGTCCACATCCTTATAGCTCTTCATGCAAAGAACTCTACATGTTAGCTGCTTGAAGTGTAGTCCCAGGGTCATCTGGAGTTGGTAGACAGGAGACACTCAGGGGCATCCCAGATCTAATAAATCACATTTTCCATTTTAATAGAAATGCGAGGGGACCTGCTAGATAGTCAGGTTGAAAAAATAGCTTTAGAGACCACGAATCTTTGACTTTGTTCAAGATGCATTTTAGAGCAAGTGCAGTGTGCATTCCACAACTTCCCCACAGAGCTAGATGAGCACCATCTACGGTGGCCAAGTCACAGGTCCTGTGGGTACTACTCCTGTGGTTCCCTGCTCATATTTACAGTGAAAGAAAATGATGGCCTTGGTTAGAGGTGAAAGTAAAGACGGAAACCCCCTCACCAAACTCAACTTCCTCACCCACTGAACTCTCTCCGTGGATAACATGATGGCCTGTCAGTCCCACTTAAAGACCAGTGCCCCATGGAAGGACTTCCGGGTTAGGGCTCTGGTCCAGTTTGTTAATCTGGTTTTCATCAAGTGCCATAGGTTGAATTCTGTGTTTTGTTGATGCCACCAGCACCTCCAACTGAATGATAAGAGATTTATGAAAATGTCGCTTGGTTTGCTTCTCAGTCTCAGAGTAGCTTGGCCCATTGTTTTGTCTACCCCAACCCCTACCTTCTTTTTGTCCTTGTGTTTTTCCTTTTTCATTGCTTCAGGAAGCGATTTCATTTTCATTCAGTCATTGTGTACTTATTTTCTACAGAGTCTTGCTTTGCTTTATATTATTTCTCCTATTTCTTATGTTTGAAACTTCCCATATGCTTGTTGTTGTTGCATTGTTGTTTGACAAACCCATGACCTCACACATACTTAAGCCAAGTGCTGGTTGTACCACTGAGCTCCATATGCTCTAATCCATCCATTTCTCACTTTCATCTTCTTGACCTTCATGGGTTGTAGCATTTGTACACATCCCTGTCTGTTCCACCAGCAGATTAAATGATACCCAGCCAACATGAGTACCCACTGACCTGCTTCATCAATTCCCTGCCAGCTCCAGAGGCTTGAAAGTTATTTTTCACACTGAAATCTCTGGTGGATACTGGTCCCCTGTGAATGGAATGGAGCATCACGACGTGGAGGCACTGAGTGGGCATTTAGAGCCCAATGTCCTCATTTCAGGACCCTGTTCCCCCCCTGAGCAGCCATGTGATCACTCTGATCTTCAATATTATCATCTTCTCAGTGGGGAGAAAAATAATTCTCACTTCACTGTACCATAAAGAGGAATAACAAGCTAACATTTTTAATGGAAGCCCTTTTTTTGACATTTAATGAATC